TTGAATGTAAACAGGGATGAATTCTTGACCAAATTGTGGAACTCTCTGAGGTTTATTCTCTTGGTCCTCTGGCTCAGTTTTCTTGTCCAGAATTGCCCTGCTTCCACTGCCTTCATTTTTCCCCCACCCCTAAGTATGTTAGTTTACGGTTATCAGAAACTTCATACCTTTGTAGTTCTCTTAATTCTTTTTTTCTCCTATGAAAGTAGGAGAAAACAGTCATGGTCTTTGAAAGTCTTTTAAAAATAATTTTATAGAATAAAAAACCCCTTTCTTGGTTAAAGGAGATTCAGTTTTTTACATGTGAATAAGAGTAAAATTGTGTTTCCTTAAAATGATGTGAGATATCTTCTTATCTTGAATGTCCCCACCTTTACCTATGGAATTGGGTGCCTTTATCATTTTCACCCAAAACTTCAAGCTTTTAGGCTATTCCAGGTCATTTTTCTCTCTGTTGCTCACTCCCATCCAGATTGAAAGAAACCAAAACAAACTCTCTTTCTTTCATATTTCTAAAACTTTTCTCCTGAGTCTTTAGCCTGACTCCTCCTATTTCCTAGGAAATTTGATATTACCTAATTTTATATTTATGCTTCTCTCCTTTGAAATCTTTTGAAGTGACTAATCAGCAAAAAAGCATATACAATGAAACTCAAAGTAGGACGTGAGATTCCTAGTGAAGAATTAATTATTTTAGTTTTCTGAGGGCTAATAGTAACTCTAGTTGTTAACTGCCAGAAAGCTCTAGCTGGTATGAACAGAGGCATGCCAGTTGACCAAGAGAAAAATATTGAAGTAGAAGGCACATGCATATGTCAAAAAGGCTCTGCAGAGGAAAGGTGTTATAGCATATTTGAGAAATTGAGAGACCAGTGTACCTAAAGCGTAGAGAGCAACAGAGGAGGAATTGGATGAGATACACAGCAATCACATCATAGAGGGGCAAGCCCTGGATTTTGGTATTTAAGAGCAGTGGGCAGCAATTGAAGAGCTTTTCCTAAGAGCAATGATTTGATCTGTTAATCATTAAAGTATCACTGGTGACTGTGGGGAAGGGACAGATACCAAGATTGGAATGGGCAGCTTAATTAGATGATGCTAATGTAATTGTCTAGGTTGGTTGTCTCTCAGTTTTTGAGCTTATCCCCTGATACATGTGTGTTCTTCATTTATATGTATGCACTTTGGTGTTGACATGTTGAATACATTGTAAGACATTAAAAAGCAGTAAAAAGGATGAGAAAAATTAATGGTTGCAGGTGCTACTATTTTCTTCCCTGCCCCAACTGATGTATGTTAAGCGTCTGGGATACATGTTGCCCACCCTGAGCACTGCTAAACAAGAGATCATAGAACAAAAACAGAGGCAATGGAGATAGTTTGGAGAGAGAAATTAGGAGGTTGCATTAACAGGACTTCAAAATTGCTTATATAGGAGTAAAAGAAAAGGTTGTAGATTTCTGGTTAAGAGCACTGATTAAAGGGTTGACAAACACTCTAATTGAAGCTAATTGTTTTAGTTAAAGTAACATTTCTACCAGAATGTGGTGATTTCTCTGAGCATATACTTAATAATGCCCTTAGTAACAAATGGTAGGAGGGCATTTAATGGGCAAGTCTTGATCTGTGATCGGGAGGAGGAAGCAGAGCAGTGAACCTGAGGGCACAGGTTACTCTTGCCTTTGGAGGCATTAGGGTATGACAGGATTGGTAAATGATAGGCCCTTCAACTTCTAGTTGCCTTTTGGAGTGTATTTAGCTAGAGGCAGGGCCATTCATTTCACAACTAAAAATAAACTGCGTATGAAACGTGGTGGACTAAGGAAGTTATTAAGTCTATTGCCAGTGCAGCCGATTAATTTGTCAGCAAGCTATCAACTGTTAGCAGCCATTTTCACATTGGTTTAGAAGGGAATAAAATGCATTCGAGTCATAAGTTGGTAGAGGATTACAAGAAATAAAGGATGGGGAAAAACCCAATCATACATAGCTTTGTCTTAAGGTTGAGTTTTAAAAAAAAAAAGAAAGAGAGATGTTTATGACAGTACATTTTCATGTTTGGCTATATATGCACAATGCTCCATTTCCCAAGATATATAAAAGTTTTTTAAATCAAATTTTAAAACAAAATTTGAAATATTTTTGAAAATGTTTCAAAATGCCACTTAAAAAATGCATTGCTTTGAGTAAAATTTATTGTTTGTAATCCTCATGCCTCCCAGCACAGTGCCCTACAGTGTGGTAACTTCTTTTTAATGCAGCAGCTGTACCGCTGCAGTATCTGCTTCCCTTCTATTCTGGATACCTTTGAGCAAACATCAACACATTTGCTTTCACTCTGTCTGAAAAATGTATAGCATAGAACTTTGCAATCAAGAGAGAAATACCTGGGGGCATTACTGATGGTCCGAAGTGTGAACACCACTAATTCAGATGCTGATGTTGTGCTTACTCACCCACTCAACTGACCAGCCTTCCAGAGAATGCAGATCAGATTCAAGCCAGTCTTTAAGCAAACATTATCTCATTTAATCCTAAGAAACAATGCTGAGATGGGTCATATCCCCATTACCAATTGCCTTGGGGACTAACTGCTAACAGGAGAAACCACTGGTTGTGAAAATCGTGAATAAAGAGTCTACTATAGTAATTATATATAGTAATAAAATATAGTAATAACAATCAAATCTAAACAGCCTGTCATTTCCCACTACTTCTAACTTACCCAGTGTTTCTGCATTTCCCTGCTCATACGAAACACCTGATGTTAAAGTATGTAAAGGCAGGGGTAAGCCTGAAGGATGGCTGTTTGACAACTACATTAGCAATCAAGGGACAGCTATGCAAAAAATAATAATAATACATATATATGGCTAACTTAAAGAGAAATGTCCTTTCATAGGTGAAATGTGAGGTTTGTGTAACATCAGTGCTAGTGTTAAAAACTATGCTGAAAACATCCTATTACCGAATTTACTCAGCCTGTGCAATAAGTGTTCTCTCCCTTACTCTCTGCTTTGCTCCCCTGACGAATGAAAAGAGTTAATGGCATCAGTATTAAGCAGGAAGTTCTGTTAGGCTTATGCATATGACGGAATGAATAATGTAGTATCTTCAGGAAATGCAAACTGCAGTATAATTTAAGCAACCTATCAGAATTTAGATCAATATTTTACATGATAGTATGACGTTAAAGCCAGCGGAAAGAAGATGCTTAAAGATACCAGGTGCAAGAATGTTTTTAATAGTTGACTCTGTGAGAAAGACTGGGAATTTTGGGTTGAAAATGTTTTGTCTTATGCAGCAATAATGGTTTACCTGCGTTCTGACAATTGTCAGATGACTTTTTTACAACATGATTGGTAATGGGATGTGGCAGTTTCTTTCCTGTCAGAGAAGAGATAATTTCTCAGGTTTTTCTTGTAAGTTTTAAAAATTGTCCTTATGGTTTTTCTTTTTAAATATGGATTAAAGAAACTGAAGGGTAAAACCTGAAGACTAGGCATGTTTCTTTAATAAAGGTATTATAGAAGTAGCCATTTGCAAACATCGGTAAGACAGATTTTTTAAAAACAGTTTAAACCTAAAATTATTGAAAATTTTCTAAATTGTTTATCTCCTGTGGAATGATCTCATTAGCTTGGTAGACATTTTATATGTATGCCCGTGGTCTTTCTATGTCATTACTGTAAATAAATATTGTGCATGCAGCTTTAATAATAATAATAGATTGGGTGGTTGGAAATACTTAGCAAAGGTGACATTTATCAATCTTATTTTGTTTGCAAATATCTACTGTATGTAATATTTTCAAAGCAAGACTTAATTGGATTATGTTAAATCTAATTTCTAGAAATGAAAAATTATCTTATATAAGACATTACCATTTTTAGATTTGTGTTATTTAAATATAAATTGGTTTGTTTCTGATTTTTCTTAAACTTTTAGTTAGCATGAGTTGTATATTTTAAATAATGTAGTCTTAGGGGAGATCTAAAACACTGTCTTGTTTGCCTTTATATGGTCTTTCTTAAGCCCCAGTACATTTTAACCACTAATTGTTTCTTAGTTAATACCAATGGAAAAAGAAAATCTTTCCCATGCTGAAAAGAATTTCTTTAGGATTTTACAGAAAATTATTGATGTAAAGTTTTGGATGTCACTAAAGTAATAGTTAAAAAAAAATTACTTTTGTTTTTCTCATCCCAATTTTGACTGTCACCTTGATTTCAGATAAGCCCTTCCCCCTTTTCTTAGATCATCACCTTCTCATTGAGTTTCTTCTCCTAAAAAAAATTATTTTATTGACACCTAAGCTAAAATTTAATGTAAATAGCCTAAATAAATGGCTGTTTGATCTGACCACATAGTTTTAATAAGACATTTTGTCAAATATGCACATATATTGAAAAAAATAGTAAAATGTGGATTGGTAGTAAATAGCTGATTTTTAGCAAACCAAAGATACTCTTATTTTGTGTCAATGAATATAAAACTCTTTATTGCAGTGGCCCATTTATAATGGCTTTGGTCTTCTTTTCAACTAGTAGGAATGAGTTAATCTTAAGCACTTCCGCTAAATTTTTGTTCAGGTTCAGTTCTCCTAAGTGAGAGGATAGATCTTGTGAAATTAATGCTAATGGCCATAGATCTTGACTTCCTCTACCTTATCTTCATTGACTTTTAAAAAATATAACCCTAAAATGCTGGTTGCACTCTTTAACCATATAATTAGGATGTAACTAAGTTGTAAGTGCATCATTTGATCTATGGCTGCTTATAGGGTTTTTCCACAAAAAAAGATTGCATAATTTTTTTTTAAGAGCCTGTGTTAAAGAGGATGCATTTTATTGAATTACAGAGCTTCCAGGATGAGGATCTAGATAGGACGTATGTATAAATACATTTTGAACATTTCAAAGCACCTTTTAGTTTATGTGAAGTTCTTCAGATGGCCCCGTTGTCCTTCAAAGCTTCTAACACCAAGGTGTCTGTTGCAGCCCAGAGCAAAGTTACTGCTACCCAGGACAGCACTAATTTGCGATGTATTTTCTGTGGTAAGCAACATTATGTTTACATTACTTTTTCAAGCTGTGGTACATGCTACTTGCGCATTTCCATAACTTTTGTTTTCTTAGGCCATAGTCTGGTTTGTGATATTTGGGATATATAGCAAGCTATTGTTTTTATGTTGTGATATTTGTTGTGGTTCATGTAGGTGGTTTGGTCAGCTTTGAGTTGGCTTGTTAGTGAGGATTTAGTTAGAATTAAGGTCTTAAAACTATTCTTGTCCACCTCTTCCAGCACAGTTGAGAGGGGTTTTTGTTTGTTTGTACATTTTTTGTTTTTAATTATTTTGTTTGGGAGAAAATTTTTGATTGAGAATTTAAGGAAAAAATTTACGTCCATCTTAATATGATTTGAGGAATGTAAATGTGCCTTATTCAAAGGGAACTTTTGCTTAACTTGAATTAATTTTAGGTATGCATGTTGTGAGGCCGATGTAAGCCAATGCTTGCTTTAATAGGTTGATTTCTGATTGATAGCCTCCTTTATTCAGTAGGTTAGATATCTGTGGCTTAAGAGTGAATTTAGGCTTATTGAGTGTTTTCTTTCACTCTCACTCTCATACACACGTGTGCACATGTATGTATTGTTTGCATGGACAAACAGGTATGTCACTTAGCCACCCCAAATTAGAGATAATCAAATACATACCTAAGGATATGTATCTGTCTGTAAACACAGACAGATACATATCGTTGTCTAAATTCTTATTTCCATTTGTTTCTCAAACGTTTCTGTTTAAAAAACCCAAGTTTCAAAGAGTGACTTTTAATTACTTGAGCTTTGAAAAGAAACCTCATATATACCTTTTTGACTCATGTGTACCTTGCTAGCCAGATTATTTTATGAGAGAAAGTTACTAAATGATATACAGTATAGCTCCAATTTTACATAAAGTGTTAACGCTCTGTGTATGTACTTTATGTGACTCAGAATTTTTAATGTTACTTCTCAATACTAATGATATTGTTTCTTTACCTATGAAGATAATTATTTTAAAATGTATGTATTTTCTGGTTGAGGCAAAGAAGTACATGTTGTAAATTTCTTTTTAAAAAAGGAAAGAAAAGGCTAATGTATTTGTTAGTCACTTAAAGTTATATTTAGAATTGTTTCAGGGGACACAGTTACAGCAGTGAGCCTAATGTGTGGCTATTCATAAATCCCTCCTCTCCCTCCCAGATCCCACAATTAAACACTGCAGATTAAATGTGTAATCAGTAACTTTTTCCCTCATTTTTCTGCCTCCTCCTGGGGGTTCTTCCCGGCTAGCTTTGAACTAGCCATGAGTGATTATTGATATTTGTGTTTTTAGGACTCTCTTTAGCTCATTTTGAAAACCCACCCAATGTTGTATACCTTTCTACTTAATATGTCGAGGTCTATACATAGAATAATGGATACTTTACCCAACTGCAGAGAAAAATGTTGATTTGACCTAAGTGAAGGTGAATGTTTAAAGCTGTAAAATAATATGTTAAAAAGCAGATTCCCCCCCATTAACTATTACCTTTAATTAACTGTATGCAAACAATATAATTACAATGTTGCTAAGTTTAAACTTGATTGTATTGTGTATATAATAACTTGTCTTTTAGTCCTGTGTTTTTAAATAGTCTGTGGCTAATTGTGAAAATAGATTTGTGAAAATTAAAATGTGACATTAAGTGAAATATGCTTTAACCAAACTTAATATTGAAGGCAAGATTGAAATGCAATTCCTATTCTAGAGAGTCTCCTGATCCGATTTTCATCATTTATAGGATATTATATCAGTGACACTGCCACATTTCTCTGTTTACAAACAGTAACTCACAAAGTTTGCTATATACCTTCTTCTTGTAGCCAGGACAAATTAAGATCAGCCGTTATCTTTGGCTGTGAGAGAAAGAACAAACTCTCGAACAGCTGCTGTTCTTAATGTTAACATAGAAGGAGCAAAGCAGGTTCACTAGTTTCTTAACTTTGGTTGTTCTTCCCTCTTTTTCCCTCCCCAAAGGGCTGTTCACCACCACATGATGCTCATAAAATATTGTCATTTGCCCACTGAAATGGTTATGAAAGTACCTGTTTTGCATTTTATGAGAATACGAATACTTAATTGGGAATGTGACCTGTGTGAAGTAATATTTATATTCCAGAACATACAGTGGCAGCTGACAGACTTGCCTGCTTCATGTCATGTGGGGTGCCTTCGGTATTACTTACCAATTTTATAGCCCGTTAGAGTGTTTGACAAAAAGGAAAAATGTAATTGTGTACCTGAAGTTTCTATTTACCTGGAACTTTTAATGTTTGTAGTAGGTTTGTATTAATTTTTAAATGCACATAAATTTCAATGTGCTAGTTACTGCAACCTGACAATTTGAAGAAGAAACAAACAGAACAACCCTGAACTTTATATTTACCTGGAACTTTTAATATTTGTAGTATGTTTGTATTAATTTTTAAATGCACATAAATTTCAATGTGCTAGTTACTGCAACCTGACAATTTGAAGAAGAAACAAACAGAACAACCAGATTAAATATAGATGTGAAAAAATAACAAGGGGAGTGGTTCCCTGCACATGCACAAACCCCTCTCATTTAAAGGATGTCTGGAAAGACCGAAAGCCCATTATCATCACAAAGAACCATGTGGAAACGAATTGTTAAGAATTGTTTTAGAATCAAAATTCTCCCCATTTTAAAAGGATCTTCCTTGAAGCCTTTCTTCTCAGCTGCAGGAATAAACTGTAGAAATTATTTTTGTAATTATGATAACAGCCACAAAATATTACCCACATTTAAAAAAAAATCTCCTTTCTAAATAGGTTTGCTTAGTAAGCTTTTAAAAAGCTTAAAAAAAAAAAAATTCCAAAGCAGGTTCTATAAATTGCTAATTTTTTTTTTCTCAGCTTTTGTGAGTTATATTAAACTTGTGTTAGGTTTTTTTTTTTTTTTTTAAACTGTTAAATAGGATTGAGTTGAAATTTTGACATTTTTTGAATTTATATATTTGAATTAAAACCTCTAATCCATTAATATTACCTTTAATATGTAACACCTATCCTAGGTGTGAATAGTACAATTGCATTCATCTTTGAGGTAGATGCCAAGTCTAACCTACTGACTGACATTCAGCTGTTTTATTATTTAAGCAGCCTGAGGCTTTCAACTTAAATACTCAAGTAAACATTGTTTTAAAAAATAGTTAAACCATAATGGTCTTGTGAGTTGCCCATGCTAAATGCCCACATTTAGTACTTTGAATAAACACAACTTTGGATATATAAAGTACATTCCCCAAATACTTCATGCTACCTCAGATTTATCTCCCCACTTTGTATGTCCCCAGAAGAGAGGTCTTTTCCTTGTAAAGTATTAAACATTAGTGTATAGCCTAATAGGACAGTCTGTTTTTACATCATTATTTTAATTTCTCAAGGAAAGAATTTTATTCTGTTTACTAGACAGCAATCATGAATTTTCATTTATACAAACATTTACGTGTGTATTTAATTTCAAAAGTTTTGGTTTTTTTGTTATTAATTACATGGGATTAATATTTTTTATATTTCCTTTATTTGGCTCTCAAAATAGCAGACTCTTAGGAAATCAAATAAAATATATCACTCCACTTGTCATCAGTTTGTCTTTAGAGGACAAATTAAATGATTAATCTAAAAACATTTGTAAAGAGGTGAGGAAAAAAGTTAGTAGGTAAGTTCAGATCAAATTCTGTTTTTCCACACTTGGGATACACCAGTACTGCATTATATCCTAATAAATTTTTACTTCCAGTTGTGAAGTCACTCCACTAGTATAAAGTACTTTGCACGATTAGCCCATAGATTACAATAATTTACTTTAGTACATAGAAGCATTGATTTAGTGACTTTAAATACTAGTTGTCTACAAATCTTTCAAAATATCTGTTAGGAGCATTTGCTGGTACACTAGATGTCACAAATATATATAGTATGTCATTACTCATATATTCTTCTCCAAGAGTGGAAGATAACTACTGTTTCTTTACTTTCATGTTTACTGGATTAGACTTTAAGATTGTTCTACTTTAACCCTAGGTATTATATATTAGGTCCAGTATTTATCTCATTTTGTGACATTTAATTTTTATATCCAATAACATTAAGATATTTCATAAGTCAGTGGCATTCTATGTAAGATGCAAAAAGTGGGTCTGCATTGTACATGGTATGTGGGAATGGATGGTCATTAGTGTCTCATGACAGAACCATGTTGTATGAATGCAAGTTTTTCTTCTTACCCTAAATGAAAACTTAAAATTACCTGTTACATTAAAAATTCAGTTCAGTAGGTTCATTACTATGTGGAAGTTTAGCAAATGTTTTTTCACCAGTGATGGAAATGCTAGGCCATTAGACAAAAATGGCAGCTTAAATTGGGCAAATTTAATAAATGCTTTAGCATACGTCAGTCTAGTAATAAGGTTCTCATGCTCTCTCTCTCTCCTGTTTTTCATTTCCAGTGTTCTATTTAGGTGAGTTTTTGAATTCTGATTTCTCATTTAAGTTCTCCCTCTCCACTTCATGAATAATTACCCCAAAGAGAATGTCTCATTGTCTTAGAAAATGTCAAGCTTAGGTGCCTATTCAGATGCTCATCAAACACTTGTTTTACTCAAGCTCTTCATATATAAATGTTTATTTTTCCTTATTGTTGATGTTTTCCATTTGTTTCAAGTAAGCCTTCTGGAGATGACAACAGTATTATGTTGCAATCTTTCATTTGCTCTGTGTTATATAAAGCTTATATTTTATTTTGCTAGACAAAAAGAAGACACGTTTGTAAATATGTGATGGTTTTATGTTATTCTCATGATTTTATCTCCTCTATCCAGCTAGATATGAAGATAATGTTCATCTGTAATATTTTCTCCCTCCGTAGGGCCAACATTGCCTAGACAGAACTCACAACTACCTGCCCAAGTTCAGAATGGCCCATCCCAAGAAGAAATGGAAATTCAAAGAAGGTAAATTTGCAAGTTATTTCTTTTACTTTTTCTTTATGCTGCAGAAGACAAAACTGAACATCCTAATGTTTAAAGTAGATTATGTCTTGTCATCTGTTTTAAGAGTCACAGCTTTTATTCTTACATTAGTAAGTTTTGGAACTATCATTAATAAGTTACAGATACTTGTTATGCTGAATGTGAGATGTTATAAAATTTCATGCCTGCTTTTTTTGTTTTTCTATGAAAATTATACTCATGGTAGGTTTAAAGTATTGTAAATACACTTAACAATTCAAATATTTTTATGGTTCAAGAAGTCTTTAATTATAAAGTGATATGTGACTCTATGGTTTTTACATGATGAATTTAACTAAAATGTTGAAACAATGTGGACTGATTCTATAACACATTGATCTTTAAATACTACTGTAGGGTTTAGTAGTAGAATACAAAATTGTTCTCTGTTGGGCAGCATTCTTCCGTGACTGGGAGTACTCTGAAAGTGGGCAGAGAAAGTAGGCTGACAGGCTAACCTTTGGAATACCAGCATGGGGAGCAGGCAGGCCTCAGAACCGCACAAATGCTGAGCTACTTAAAGTTCCACCGGAAGCCCCAGCTCATCTGAGGCAGCTTGTTCAGTTTCTTGAGAGAACCGTCTTCTATGGTAAATACCATTCCATCCATTGAGCTGGTTTTGGGGAGGACAGGGGAGGAGCTGGTATAGCTGTTCTTCAGATAGTGTATGTACTTATTAATCAGCTTGATTATTGTGGCACTGCTCATTCCCATTCTCTCTACCTGCTGACCTCAAGTCAGATCCTTCCCAGGTTCCTCTTCCCATGTCTGCTTTGACCGTCTTCAGGGTGTGTTCTGGGTTGTGAATGCCTCTGCTGCTCCATTTGTTTATGTCACAGGCATTGTTTATTCTAAGTGCTTAAGTTATATTGGGATGGGTGGAGGGAGCGGAGGGACCAAAAAGCCTTAAACTAATCAGACAATAAACATGACATATCGTAGAAGATGATAAGTGCTATGGGGAAAAAAATGGAACAGAGTAAAGAGGATTGTATGTTTTGGAGGGGCAGAGGGAAGTGCTGGTTGTAATTTTATTTTATTTTTTTCATCCATTACTTATGAGTCTCACTAGTTGTGAGTTTAAATAGATTGGTCAGGATAGATCTCATTGAGATAAAAAGAAGGAATTAACAAGCAGATATCTGTGCAAGTGCATTCCATTAAGAGGTTTTTTTTTTTCTTTTTCCCCCTCTCCATTAAGAGGTCTTAAGAAAAGATGGTGCTTATGTGTACAAGGGCAAACAAGGAGGCCATGGAGGCTGGAGTAGAAGAGAGTATTGGGAGATGAGGTCAAAGATAATGGAGGTCAGATCATGCAGGGCCTTATAGGCTGCTGTGAAGAATTTAACGTTTATTCTGAGAGAAATGAGAACCATTGTACAGTTTCAAACATAGGCACAATCTGACTTAAAATTTTAACAGAATCAGTAAGGCTGCTCTGTTGAGCCTAGACTATTGAGAGACGATTGGAGGGAGGTGCAGGGTTGGACAGCAGCTCAGCAAGAACCCCAGTCAAGAGGCTGTTGCAGTGAACTAGGCAGGTGATAATGGTGGCTTCCACCACATCATAGAAGTGGGTGGTGAAATGTCAGATCCTTGTATGTCTTGGTGGATTGTATGGTGGGGTATGAGGGAAGAAAAGGGGTTGAGGTTTTTAGGCTAAGGTAGTGGGAGGGATAGAGTTGCCATTAACAGTTGGGAAAGACTACGTAGAGCAAGTCTTGTTAGGGGATGTCAGAGATGAATTTTGAGGATGTTAGGCTAGGATTTTACTGGAGATCTAAGTAGAGATGTTGAATACTAGTCTTAGGAGAGTCTCTAGGAGACTAGGGAAGAATTCTAAACACACAACTCTTTTCTTTTTTTTGGAGACGGAGTTTCGCTCTTGTTACCCAGGCTGGAGTGCAGTGGCACGATCTCAGCTCACCGCAACCTCCGCCTCCTGGGTTCAAACAATTCTCCTGCCTCAGCCTCCTGAGTAGCTGGGATTACAGGCACATGCCACCATGCCCAGCTAATTTTTTTGTATTTTTAGCAGAGACGGGGTTTCACCATGTTGACCAGGACGGTCTTGATCTCTTGACCTCGTGATCCACCTGCCTCGGCCTCCCAAAGTGCTGGGATTACAGGCTTGAGCCACCGTGCCCAGCCTACAACTCTTTTCTATCCTTTCTGTCTACCAGAAATCTGATAATAAATTTGCCCTACCAATGATCGCCACCTTCATTTTTCTACTTGGTCATGGTTTATTTATATGTATTTTAATGATGTTTCTGGAATTTTAGTAGAATTTTGAGGAAGATTACAGGACTGCTCAATCTAACAACCTGAATAAGAGTCTAGACACTGCTGTCTTGACATCTCCCTGCTCAGCATTCCTATGGCCACCTCTCATGTCCAGTTTATTTCTTTGGCCTGGCATTTAGGAACTCACTCGTGTTTCTGTTTCGCCACTCATGACTATCTCTGTATATACCATACTCATCTTTCCCTCTGTGTTGTGTGTGGCATCCACCTCTTCTGACATGTCCTTCTCATATCCTTTCTATATTGTCATTTTCTGTAGATGCTTGTCCAGGCACACTAATGTTCTTCTTTTCTGAATTCCTGTAACTTAATCACACAGTGTTTTGTATTTTCTTTGTGAATGTTTATTTTACATATGAGTATTACCTCCACAGTGAACATTATGGACTGTTTTGAGATCAGAAACCTCAATAAAATTTCTAATAAAAAGTCAAGAAGTTTCTGGTACTGAATTAATTTGTCTGCAGGTTTTGGGGTATAAGACAAATACATGTTTGACCTTTAATGTAGTAATTTTCTTCACTTTTGCCTAATTTTTTCCCTACTCTAAACCCATGGTTTGTAGGAGGAATTATTGATATTTAGCTGGTAAATGGCCTTTCAGAGATTTCCCAGGTGCTAGGGAAGGCATTACCTAGGAAGATTGTTGAGTTGATTAAGATAACACACACTTTTTTTGCTGCCTAGGATTTTCTGTGTTTTTGGTAGTTGGTGGGAGGTTCATGGAGGAGGTGCTCTTTGAGCTGTGCCTGAAGAAGTAATAAAGTAGGAGTTTCCAGTCATAGAAGGGAAAAGCATTCCAGGAAGAAAGAGTAGGCGTATAAAGGCAAGGAGATGCAAACACATGTGCAGTGTGAGTACGCTGCTTCTTTCCCCTCCAGGACGGATGGTACGGTTAAATGAGATTGCATCCACCTTGTAAGGGCCTTATATATACTGTACTAAGAAATTGCCTTTTTTTTTTTTTTTTTTTTTTTTTTTTTTTTTTTTGAGACGGAGTTTCGCTCTTGTTACCCAGGCTGGAGTGCAATGGCGCGATCTCGGCTCACTGCAACCTCCGCCTCCTGGGTTCAGGCAATTCTCCTGCCTCAGCCTCCTGAGTAGCTGGGACTACAGGCATGCACCACCACGCCCAGCTAATTTTTTGTAAGAAATTGCTTTTTAAAACTCTTTTCCTGAATTTGTCATATGCTAAAAAGAGGCATCTTGCTTTTTATCACTTGAGTAAATTTCAAATTATGAGAAAGATACTTGTCATTTTTCTTTGACATGTATCCCATACAATCTGTTTTGCCTATGGTTAAACCATACTTGGATAAAGATACTACAAAACTCTAAAATATCTAAATATTTATATAGACACTTAGTACTGGTTTTCACTTTCTCTCAGCCGACAGTAGTGCATGGCTGGATCTGGTTGTGTAGGCTAGCAAACAGTGGGAAAGGATGTATAGCACAGTCTAGTGTGAAGGTTGCTTCCCAGTAGAAATTTTATTTCTAAAATTTATTTCATGTGATTATTTATGTAAAATCATTTTTTTAAAACTTGGTTTAATCTTCAGAGGCACATTAAAACCTTGAGGCCAACTTTGTATTTCATAAGCTGAGTAAAATTGTTCTGTTAACTTTGGCTGTTTAACTGGCCTTCTTCTACACTATTACTGGAACATAATGAGAAACATTATTAATTTGCATTATAAATTCACAGCTGTGAGGATGTGGGTAAGGTGCCAAATGAAAAGAAGGATTAGGTGAAAGTTGGCCAACTTGGTTTCTTTCCCTTGCTCAGCTCCTAGACACTGGCAGCCAGACGTGTAGAGCCCACAAAGAAACTAAGATTCCTCTTTGGGAAAATTGCCATGGTCAAGAGAAGACAGAGGTGTTGACACTCAAGGTCCTTGCCAGTGAAGCTCATTTGCTTAAGGACCTCTGATCAGTTTTGGTGCTACTGCTTATAAATATGAACAGACAGCCAAGGATCATCAAACCTTTGAGGACAACTTCTATAAAATAAAGATCAAAACAAAGAGTTTAAATTGGATGACATATACTGCAGTAGCTTTAGAGAACTAAGAGAATACATTTCATTGATGCAATAAAAATTGGAAGTTATTTTAAAGGGATCATTCAGAGAACAAGGAAGTAAACTTGGAAACTTTTTTTTTAAAACCACCTTAACTATTTTTTTTTTTTTTTTTAAAAAAAAGAAAGAAATAGGGCCGGGTGCGGTGGCTCATGCCTATAATCCCAGCACTCTGGGAGGCCAAAGCAGTCAGATCATATGCGGTCAGCCTGGAGTTTGAGACCAGCCTAGCCAACATGGTGAAACCGTCTCTACTAAAAATACAAAAATTAGCCAGGCATGGTTGTGTACACCTGTAGTTCCAGCTACTTAAGAGGCTGAGGTAGAAGAATCGCTTGAACCCTGGAGGCAGAGGTTGCAGTGAGCTGAGATCAGGCCATTGCAGTCCTTCTGGGCGACAGAGCGAGATTCGATTCCATCTCAAAAAAAGAAATAGAAGACTCCATGTTTGGGTCCCCTTCCATGAACACTCACTCGTGGAAGCTGGGAAAAAAAAATAGAAATAGAAGTTTTGAGAACTAAGGTTGAGGGATTTATTCTCTGAAAGCAGTCA